GAAAAGGATTTAGGAGAAGAGACTGCAGTACTTTAGAGAATCCGAATGCACTTTCACTATCCGACGTGTTTATGATGTGCCAGCGGACGTCATTTTGTGCGTCTGCTGCTGTGGGGAAACTATGGAAACTACAGTTTTCTATACAGCTGACTACAACATGGATGTATAATAAGAACGACGGACTCATCTAGAGACTGCACCGTTCTCTGATGCTGTTGCTTTATGCTTTATGAACAACAGAGAAACATATTCTTCATGACCAAAGTTGGAATTGAAATAAAAAAGTGAAACTTATGCTCATCACCCTCTCCCTCCAGTCCACATTAATACAAACGATCCCAATATGTATGATTGTATGAACTATGAAAAGATCTTAAAATCAATACAAATGTATTTATTATAAACGTTAGTCTTTAACACCTATATCACCATTCAAACATCTTTTAAAAGTTGAACAAACCCCACACAGCTCAGTGAAATGTTGACTTTATTTGATAATTTCAGTAAAAACTAACGTTCATATTTCTCTTTTTGATTATAATACTGATGAACGTTAAAAAAAAAAGCACTTTGGCAACTTACCACATACGTTTTTAAAATGCTTAATAAGCACCGTAACTTTCATGATATAATTTCTCCGTCATAATCGTTTGTGTCCGTGAACGGCCGACTGTTGTGTGACGTCAAATGCTGCGGCTGCAAGGCATTGTGGGGCAGCATTTTCTCCTCTCCTTTCGGTTAGGGAGGTCCAGTGGTTCCTAAGCTAAAGGAGGTTATACTGTAAAGGAAGTTTGAAACCTCCTTTCCTATAATTCTAGAGAATTCGAACGGCACTTATCATGGCTGCCACTGAGGCACTTCCGGGTCATTTCACTCGGTTAGGAAGGTTCCTAAGCTAAATGGACTATTCTACTGCAGCCTCGGATTCTATAAAATATTGCAGTCTCTTCTCCTAAGTCCTTTTGAATTCTCCTATCCACTATCCCTTAACCCCGTGACGTTTCACTCAGAGGTCAAGGGATAGACGATAGGGTTAGACGATAGGAGTTTATTTTTGGTTTATCCGACCACAACCTTGCACTTATATTGGCTAGTGCCAATAAAATTGTATGTGATAGGCTAAGCGGTTGACCAATCACAACAGAGCCGGCCAGCGAACCAATCAGAACAGACTGGGCTCTTGTTTAGACAGAGGGTGAAAAGAGGCGCTGCAGCACAGGCAGTATGAGACAAATAAAGAGCTTTTTGATCATTAAAGCATGGAGACATGTCACAGTAGAAATGCAAATTACAAATATGAACCTGAATATTTGCATATTATGTCATAAAAGTGCTTTAGAAAACATTCCAACTTTCGGTATTATTATACTGATGCTATAAAGGCTGCCAAACGGCTCATCAGGACCGTAAAACGTCTGAGTCCTGCTAAAAACAACATATACACTACCTGGGGTGTATCAATACAGAAAGGCAATTTCACTGGAGTATTTATAGCATCAAACTCCATCCTAGCCTTCACATTAACGTCACACAGGGTTTCACACCTATTCTGCAATGGCTCATTCCAACAAATGCTGTTTTGTTTTTAATAACTTGCTACACAAGGGTTCTCCCTAATCTGATGCCTTGGTGAATCACAAAGGTGCATGTAATGAAAATGAACAAAAACCAAGCTGTTGTTGCATTATTTAAAACAAAAAGGGTTTTTAAATCAGACACAGTCAGGATGTTCTGGGACTGTTTCCTAGGACTTTCCAGATGTATAAAAAGGAAAGAACGGCTAAAACCAGGGGATCATTTCAGTGTAGTGGAGGTCACAGGCAGTGACCGTGAAACTGATCTATCTTACTTTCTATCCTGATAAAAGCTACTGATAGAAGAAATAAAAGACAGAGGTGCATGACTCAAAACAACCACAATGACTTTGAAATGTACTGACAAATAGACAACAATATATCTTAATTCTTCAATTTTTATTTCCAAACGGCAATCACTTAATTTAATGTAATGGTTGCACAACATTTACTTTAATCAGTGTTCAAGTACAGAGCATGTGCTGTGTGTGCATCTTAACAAGGGCAGTTAAAAAACTAATTGCCATGGAAAGCAGCATCCTCTAAGCATGTGGTGGTATACAATCAACACCATATACACCGTGGTATAGTTTCGCAATTTAGCATGCCTTTTTTGTTCCATGTAGGCTACTGGTTTTCTTTTTAAGATTTTGAAATGTTTTGGTCCTTTTAAAAAGTCTTGCGTTTTTGCCGCATTCACACTTGCTACAGCTTTTATGCAAGTGGTGTCAATTCCCTCAATGGTACATTTCAAGTATGAAACTGGAAATGACCTTGTGTGAATAGCATTGTCCACTAGTAGCCATGGCTGAAAGCTGCAGTCCATACCCAAATGCCAATGCATAAATAATCACACTGCATAGAATTCCACTCAAAATGTTTTTTTCTGCAGGATTACAGCTTTTTTCTCATTAAGTTTGGTTCTCAAAAGCGAATTATCCTTCCTCTTTGAATCATCAGGGTGAGTTTGAGAATCCATCAAAGAAATATTAAGGCTTTATGATAGCGTTTGTTTGTCTCAGCTCTGATGGTTGCTGCATGCTTGTCTCCTTATGTGTTCTTCATATTTGGATTTTCCAGGTTGTAGTTGAAGGGTAAATTCGATCTACTAAATGTCCCTTCAGGAACTTCAGTTTGCTAAGCATCTGGCTCTGTTCATGCCAAGTATGCCCAAAAGTAGACCATACCCTCTCACAATAACTGCAGTGCACTCTTTAATCTCCAAATCATCCATTGGTTGATTGACGTCCTATGTATAGTATGGAGTAGTCCATCCTTTTTTGCATTATGGCTTGTCTTCCATTCGGTGGTCATTCATTCCCAGGTGCAGTCAGTATCCCCTCTCAAAGTGTGAATGCAGCACTTGTTAGACAATAACAACAAGCCCTGAGAAAGTAATCAAAGAGGTTGTGATCTAGGTAGCCTTTTTGGATATTGTACGGAGACAACAGCTTAGCTTGGGTGCAACATGTGTCATGTTTTGAATAGTGTTCATAAACATCAAATTGCACATTTGAACATTTTAGTTCCAGTAGGAAACTTGGAAATAGCATGACAACATCACATATAGTAAGTGTTACATTTAATTAACTTGCCATGTGTAACTATTCTACTCATCCAACGCATCCAACTTTTTTTGGGTGACCTCATTATTCTTGTGTAATAGTTATGTTCTGATCGGAACCATATTAAGTATTTCAAATACTTCCAAAGATCTCATTGGCAATACATAATTATGACACTTCATATTAGGGACTTTTTGAAATTGTAATAATAACATGCATTTCTGATTTCAGATATTTTTTATACTGCAGTGATTTTATGCACCCCCATACAAATATTTCCACATTTATTATAACTTGGGTTTTGTTATGTGACGATAACTTAATTGCTCAAACTCCAAGATCACTACAACAAAGTCAGACAAGGCAAGAGACAGGAAATACAACATTTTGTTCTTCATTCATTCGCCTCCAAGGGCAACCAGGTCAGTTTTGCTACACAAAGAATGAGCCTGACACAATTTAAAAAGGACCAATAACCTCATCATAGAGTTAGACTCTTATGAATATGCTTCCTGACTGCTATTTTTTTCCGGGAAAAACTAACAGTTTTTCCTCTTTTATTACTTTTATGCTACATTCACATTATACCCAATTTTCTCTTGGCCCACCTTGCGGTTAAAAAGCCAGTTACGTTTTGTTTCTGTTGTTTCTTCGTTTGTTAGCATGCGCCACTATAAACAGTTATCTGATTGGTTTCACGTCGAAAGTTCAGCCTAACAAGGTCAAAGTTTAAAACATTTGCATAGAAACACAACGGGAACGTCAGCGCAGAGCAGCTTTACCACATATCATGTCAATGCAGCTTTAGTATTGACTCATTACTAAGCAGTGTGTATATCCAGGAAGAATTACCGGTAACACGTTTGATGTAATGTAAGATAAAAAATACATGGCGGACTCAAAGCTATAAGGAATTTAAAACAATGTGCAGGACATTACACAGAAGGGTTATTCAAAAGTGCTCTCTAAAAATGGTTAAGCATTCCAAAATGCAGGTGAATGAGGGTTTAAAACAGCAGCCTGTTATACAAAAATGTGCCAGATATGTTCCAAAATGGTCTGACAATGGGCAAACACTTACTTTTTGACACATTGGTTGTCAGCACCGAAAGTACAGCCTTGCCTTATTTTAGTCCACTTTATGTTGACCCAAAAAGTTAATTTTATACTTAAAAGTACCACAGACGGTGGCTTTCTTGTGTACAAGAAATCTGCGTGTAATGTTCAGATGAGTTGCTTGGTGCTTATGAGCCCCGTGATATTGTATTTATTATTTCCGCTAGAAAGTAGAATGTATTCAGTGAGCACAAGACTAGGTACCAATGAATATTGAATGAAGAAATACTGACGGATAAAACAATTGCCGTCCCCTATCCCACATCAAGAGTATCTGGATGTATTGCCATGTTAACAAAACTAAGATAAATAATGGCCAAAGCTGCAAAACTAAGACTCATGTTGATATTATTTTAACACCTATTAGTTGACAACTTTTTTTTCCCTTTTTTTAATATGACCATTCAACCAGACCAGATCAATTTAAAAAAAAACCTACCAGGTCTTGCATTTATATAACACAACATGTGTCCATGACATCCAGAGGGCACCGTGAATATGTGTACAATACAGTATGTAGCACAAAGGGACACATTTCATCCCTGCTCAAGCACACACAACAGAGACCTAAGGCACTAATGGTGGTGTTTTAAGAGAGGACTACACTCTAACTATGGTCCCATTTGAATATGCAGCTCTTTTGTCTCAAGTGTTTTCTCTTTGTCATTCTCTTTGGTCAGCTCCGGAATAAACCCATTGCAAGCATCTACAAACAGTGGGAATTCAGACAAGCTAGTGTTGCACTCTTTGTCTTCAGTGTCCTCTTCACCTTCGTCCTTCCTCTTCCCCTCATCTGCGGTGGATGTGCTGCAGTCGAAAGTGGGCGTGCTGCAGCCGTACGCCTCGCTGTGAGGCCGGCGTGCCTCGGCCGGGATGTTCTTCTTCAGGTCCCGATTCCTGTTGCGCTTGGCCAGCTTGGTGACGGAGCCCAGGCGGTTGAAAATGTTGTCCTCGGATGTGGTCTGGTGGCTGGCGCCCCGATCACAGTGCTCGGCCCCTCGCAGCCGGAGGTTGTTCAGCTTGGTGTCGATGCTCTCCTGGGAGGAGGTCTTGTAGCTGTTGGTGTCCAGGCTGTTGAAGATGGCACGGTGTTCTGGGGAGAGCATGTCCAGGGACAAGGCACGCTGGTCCAGGCCCAGCTGACGGCGCTCCATGCTCCGGATGGTGGCTGCTCGCTGCAGCTTGTCATGGACCTCGACGCTCATACGCCGACGTGTCTCTCGAAACTCTGCCCGAACATTCGCCTTCCATTCTGCTGCATGAGCCTTAATGCCACCAACCTTGGCCAAAGAAAGTAATTGCAGATTAGTATGTCAGTTATGATTGGAATTATCTTTGGTCAACAATAATGCTGCGCCGCAATGATAATGTCCTTTTCAAGATAAATAAAAGTACTAATTAATACAATTTATCTGAATTTAGTGACCACCCTTAATGTTTTCCCAATAAGGTCTGTCACACATTACTTTGAATAACTTTGCCTTTTTTCTCGTGAATAACCAGATCATTTTAAATGTTAAACATCTATAAATCATTCTAATTTAACATTCTACCGCTTTTTAGTATACTGAATCCAAGACGGGTAGGCTAGGGTTAGCTTTGTTTTAAGGGGACACAAAACAATATGTAGAGATCCAGGTTTAGGTTTAGAGTCTAAAAGACAAAACATTCACAACAAAGCAAACTATGAAACATGATATTCGGCTGAAAGCATAGATTAATCAGGATAATGACAGAAATGTGGGGATTATCAAATCTTAAGTAACACCCCAATATGCATACACCAAATGGGTTGCATTTTAATTGGTTTGAATTAGTTTCAAAGTCAGTTTTGGCTTTTGTAATGAATTCATTATTCAAATTCATATTTTATTTGAAATACAATATGTCTCTGGGTACAGTGCCTGAAAGATGTTAGTAGGTGTAACAGGTGTTTTTTATATGATTTTTCACAAGCTTTTATGGCTGTATGTGTTCCCTTTTTTCCCTCCGGTAGATATGCCCAGGTGTGCTGCATTGCTGCAACGAGGTGCACTACGAGGTGCACCTGAAAGGAAGTGATTCAGGTATCATCAGGAGAAGAGAATGCCTCTTCTCCTGATGCCTGGGGACTGCAAGTGGTTCAGCCTCTCAGTCCAGAATTCTGATAGTATATTTTGTCTGTTTGCTTGTAATATGGATATGATTGTTTTAAAGGTGTGTTAATGTGTGTTTTTTGTGTGGGTCAGTGGTGGAATACTCTTAGCCCTATAGGGTCTGTATAAGGATATTCTAATATTAGATTTTTAATTTAATATACATGTCCATTTAGTTGTATTTTGCCATCCATGTGTCTTTCACATAGGTGGAACATTCCGTCGTTCCCACATAACACAATGATATGTTTTCATTTCAAACTAACTGTGTGGTTCTTTGTTACCACGCAGGGAGAGGTTTTTGCCTGGTTGGCAGTCTCAAGGACGTTCCACGTTGAACATGTGACTCTGTAATGTTTGGATCCTTTTTTGCGCCAAAAAGCTTATTACATATGCATGGCAATCTCTTGCCTTGAATATTTATTTCCATGAGATATTTCCACCACAGATCCACAAAGGGTGGGGCGTAACAATGACCCTATTCAGGTAAAGAATATAACATAGTATTAACATCATTCCGCATACCTCTTCTTTTGTCTTTTTGGACAGCACCCTCAGCCAGTCCCCGATCATGTTCAGCACTGCAGCAAAGTAGGCCAGACCCCCCAGGATCCAGAACCACACCAGTGGTCTGTACCACTTCCGGTACTCAATCCTTCTGTCTCCCCCTAATCAGAAAACAAGACATAAATGACTGAAGAAATGTACTGTAATCACTCTGCTGCTGCCAGTGTCGGTTCCACCTGAACGAGAGTTAAGGTCAGAGAAATTCACAGATAGTTGTGTTTTCTTTTGAAGTCACGGTCAGTAATTGTGGTAACCTGTGTAAGGTTGTATGATTACGGACATAGCTATAGAATAGGAAGATGCGGTGGAGCCTACCAGGGACCTAAACTCAACTAAATGACCCCTTTTCCACTGGAAAGAGTTCCTTTCAAGTTCCATGCCGGCAGTAGTTTGGATCAGTCGGTTTAGCGTATGACCCAACTGCAACCAATTTGCTTTTCCACCAACTAGAGCCTGGTAGGAGCCACGTCATCATGTCATCGTTTACGACACTGTTTTCCTTAGCAATGCTTGTTAAAGCTGTAATCAAGTGGTTTTTATTATTATGCAGCCAGATTGAATAGAAGAATGACTTCTTCATCTGTATCCTGTTCTCAAGAGTGAGGTGGTCTCATTTAGTTGCTTCTGTGGATCGTGGCTGAATTTGCCAATCTCTAGAGTGGTAGCTCACACTGCTGATGTTCCACTCACTTATAGCCAGTGTTGGGTGTAACGCGTTACAAAAGTAACGGAGTTACAGTAATATATTACTTTTTGCTGTAACGAAGTAATGTAACGCATTACTAATGAAATGTGGGTAATATATTACCCGTTACAATGCTCAGTAACGCAGTTACAACACATTTTAACCCGAAATTAAATGGTGTTTTGTTTTTTAAGAATGTACTAACATAGCGAGACATTCCGACACCGGACAAATTGTGCGGGTAGATTAGTAAACCTGGTGTTTACCCTTCAGGCTTCGCGTCGAGATCTTCGGGGAAGTTGAACGTTATGCAACCATTCAAAAAAGAGAACGTAGCGAAAAATACTAACAACAAATTGTGTCAGGTGCGCGTGACCTGCTCCGCTGCGCGTGCATCATTTCCAAAGTGCTTCTACAGCAGTGACACACATCTGATCTGTGG